GCATGCGAGAGCAGCCATTGAGGCCTTCGGTGGAGTTCCCCATGGGGCCACGAAGCGTTGTCCTGGGTGGGGGAAACGCATGCGAGAGCAACCACTGGGGCCTTCGGTGGAGTTCCCCATGGGGCCACGAAGCGCTGCCCTGTGTGGGGGAAGCGCATGCGAGAGCAACCACGGGGGCCCTCGGTGGAGCTCCCTATGGGGCTACGAAACTTGTGAGAGGTGTGCCGAGAGCGGAGGCAAGGAGGGGGAGGAGGGAGGAGGGGGAGGAGGAGGAAGGACGGAGGTGAGACGCGGTGCGCTGCCCCTTCAAAACGAGGGCCCAACACCACAAGATGGTTCGGAACACATTGTACTTTCAATGAGTTTGACCCCGATTCTCAGAGAATGGCGATTTCGCTTGAGACATCCTCCCAACATCGAGCCCCGACGTACCCTCTGGTCCCCCAGACCCCGCCCCGGAGCCTCCTGGTGGCATCCTGGAACCTCCTGGGGCCTCCTGGGGGTTTCTGTACCTTCTGGTACCTCAGACCCCGCCTCGGAGCCTCCTGGGGGTCTCCTGAAACCTCCTGGGGCCTCCTGCGGTCTCCTGGAGCTTCTTGGGGCCTCCTGAAGCTTCCTGGGGGTTCCTGGAGCCTCCTGAGGCCGCCTGGGGCCTCCTGGCGCCTCCTGGGGCCTCAGAACTACATGCACACACACACACAGAGAGACACAAATCACGCGCAACACATCACACGCTAGTAGACACACATAACACACACAACACCTACAACGCACAAAAAACGCACAACACCGAGCACACATCACACACACACACACACAACACTCACAATCCTGGGGCCTCCTGGAGCCTCTTCTGGTACCAAGTCGGGCCTCCTGAGGCTTCCTGGGGGCCTTGGTACACACATCGCAAGGTGTGGCAACCCCACTTGCGCTCGAGTGCGACTTCGCTGTTACATGTCACTCCTGCTTCAAACGCCCCTTCAGTTTTTTGTATGAGCCTGAGCACGCACGTGCCACTTTCATATTCATACGCACCTCTCCGAGGGAGTAAAGCTCAGAGGCGATGAATTGAAGGCCGCGCCACATCCGCGATTTTTCTAGCCGTTTCGCTAGGGGCATCCTCGAGATTATGAAAAACGGTGGCCCACCTCACACACATCGTGATGCCAGGGTCTAAAAACACTTGGGAATTTCAACATTCTAACATACAACCTTTAACAACACAATGCATTTACAACTATTTTGTCACCGACTTTCAAATAATGGCGGTTTCGCCTTGAGACATCCTCCGAAAAACGAGCCCCGACGTACCTTCTGCTACCCAGACCCCGCCTCCTGGAACCTTCTGGGGCCTCCTTGGGCCTGCGGTCTCTTGGTCGGGCCTCCTGGAGCCTCTTGCGGCCTTCATGGACATCCTCGCAACTTCGAGCCCAGACGTGCTCCCCTTCGGCCTCCTGGAGCCTCTTGCGGCCTCCTGGTCGGGCCTGAGGCCTCCGTGGGCATCCTCTCTACCTCGATCCCAGACGACTCCTCCTGGGGCCTCCTGGAATGGCCTCCTGAGGCTTCCTGGGGGCCCTCATGGTGTCCTGCTGTTCCAGACGACTTTTCAGTTTTTTTTGTAAGAGCCTGGGCACACACGTGCCACTTGTGTATAAGTATATGTATATGCATATGTATATGTGTTTGTATAGGCCTATAGGGGCCACGACACGCGGCGATGGGTGGGAAAGGCGCACGTGGACACCACCACTAGGGCCTTCGGCGGAGCTTCATATGGGGCCACGAAGCGTGGTACTGGGTTTCGGAGATGCATGTGGACACCGCCACCAGGGCCTTAGTTGGACCTCCCTATGGTGCCCCAAAACGCAGTGCTGGGTGGGGGAGACGCATGTGGACAACGCCATTGGGGCCTTCGGCGGAGCTCCCCATGGGGCCACGAAGCGCTGCACTGGGTGGGTGAGACGCGTGTGGACACCGCCAGGGGGGCCTTCGGTGGAGCTCCCCATGGGGCCACGAAGCGCTCTACTGGACGGGGGAGGCGCATGTGGACACCGCCACTGGAGCCTTCGGTGGAGCCCCCCATGGGGCCACGAAACGCTGTGCTGGGTGGGGGAGACGCGTGTGGACACCGCCACTGGTTCCTTCGGTGGAGCTCCCCATAGGGCCACGAAGCGATGTACTGGGTGGGGGAGACGCATGCGAACTGCGCCACTGGGACCTTGGTGGAGCTCCCACTGGGGCCTTCGGTGGAGCTCCCCATGGGGCCACGAAGCGCTGCACTTGGTGGGGTAGACGCATGCGAACTGCGCCACTGGCACCATCGGTGGAGCTCCCCATGGGGCCACGAAACGCTGTACTGAATGGGGGAAACGCATGCGAGAGCAGCCTCTGGGACCTTCGGTGGAGCTCCCTATGGGGCCACGAATCTCTGTACTGGGTGGAGGAGACGCATGCGAATTGCGCCACTGGGACCTTCGGTGGCGTTCCCTATCGGTGGAGCTCCCTATGGGGCTACGAAACGCTGCGCTGGGTGGGTGAGACGCATGCGAATTGCGCCACTGGGACCTTCGGTGGAGCTCCCTATGGGGCCACGAAGCGCTGTACTGGCTGTGACGATGTTGGTGATGATGACGGCGATGACGATGACGATGATGATGACGACGATCATGAGAACATGCGGAGGGCAGAGGCAAGGGATGGGAGGAGGGGGAGGGAGGAGGAAGGAAAGGAGGAAGGAGGAGACGCGGGGCGCTGCCTCTTCAAAACGAGGACCCAATACCACAGGATGGTTGGGAATTATGCGCGCACGCTCGTTGACCAAAAGTCATCAGTGTTCAAGAACCTTCTGCAACGCATGCTACGAGGTGCACGCGCCGGTCGCCGGTCGTCGCGCACGCATGCCGGAATCGGTCCAACACGTTGCGTTTCGTGAGGGTTTCAAAATCGAGTTCGCCCAACATATTTGTATATCTATATATATATATATATATATATTCAATGAATGTAAATACAAATTACAAATCATGAGCATGGGTTTGGTAACATGGCATGCCCCAGACAGTTCGAGCGCGCTCTTGCGATTCCCTGAGCAAGCTATCGGTTCATCAACGCGTTCATCAGATGCGACCAAACGGGCCTCTTGCGTCCATGTCGAAATCATTCGAACGCCCCTTTCGCGCGTGCTAGGTGTTTGGGGGCGCGATCCCCGTCGAATGACGCGATGCGGGAAACTCGCGCCGTCGGCCGCGCGCGCGCGTCGAAATCTTGCCACAATTTTTGCTCGCCCACGCGCGGGAAACCACCACCGTCATCGGCGTGATCAGCATCGGTGCCGTCATTGGCATTGCCGTCGTCACCGTCACCGTCGCCAGTAGCATCGCTACTATCATCATCGTGTCGACGTTGCCGACGTCGCCATGATACCGCGCCCGCCCGAGTCACCGACTCGCACTGAAGTGCCCGCGTGTCCTCGCGGAGTGCGAAACGCGTTGGGAGGTCCCCAGCGGTCAGCGCCACGGCGGCCGCGTCGGTCGCGCCAAGCGTCAGCCTATGCGCTAGCGCGGCCGCAGCGATGCGCCAGCCAGCGCCAAGCAGTCATCGCAATCGCCGCCCCATGGGTTTTACAAACCAAGTTGCGGGCGTGCGGGTGGGATGGTTGCACGAACAATGGTGTTGATAGATCATTGCGAACAATAGTAAGTGCACCCGTACATTGCACCACGATCATTGCACATCATACGTTGCACAAAACAGATCGCACAGCACAGGTTGCACACTATACATCGCACCACATCATCGACTGCAAACGCCAGGACACACATTGCACGACGTAGATTGTGTGACATTGATTGCGCCATATTTGCTGCGTCATTCACATTGCGCCGCGTACAGTGCGCGCCGTAATTCTTTGCGCAATAGAGACGGCACCATACCTTCATTTGCATATTTCACATGTATACATATGTCATGCCATGGCGCCACATACGTTACACATCCTGCGCACGCCACATTGCACACCACATATTGCACAGTATGTGTTGCACGCGACAAAGTGGGCACCATACGTTGCACACATCAGATTGCACAACACTGGTTGCCCCACATGGATTGCGCAATCCGGATCGCACAACATCGAATGCATCAAACACGGCGTTTAGGGTCCAGGCGGGCGAGCATCGGTGATACAATCTACGTGATGCAATCGGTTTTGTTCAACGCATTGAAATTCAAAACACTGCGAGGCAGCGCGATACCATGCAATGCGCGTCGGCGGTGAGGCGGCGACGGTTCGGTGACGGCGGCAACATAGCCGCCAAACTGATTCACAGGCCCAGACGATGGTGGCGACGAAGCGGCGACGGGGCGGCGACGGCGACCACATAGCCGGCAAACCGACACAACAATCCAGACGATGGGCGGCGACGAAGCGGCGACGGTGCGGCGACCGCGACCACATAGCCGCCAAACCGACGCAACGATCCAGACGATGGGCGGCGACGAGGCGGCGACTGTGCGGCGACGACGACCACATAGCCGCCAAACCGACGCACAGGCCCACTTGATGGGCGGCGACGAAACGACGACGGGGGCGGCAACGACGACCACGTAGCCGCCAGTCCGACGCATAGGCCTACACGATGGGCGGCGACGAGGTGGCGACGGTGCGGCGACGGCGTCCACATAGTCGCCAGACAAACGCAGTGGCCCAATTCTTTTGAACAGAAGAGATATGCCTAAGCGCACACACGGTTTGGATAATACGTGTATATATACACACACGTATACGTTGTGTTTCGAATCTTCTCGTTTTTTCCATTGTCACACATTTATAACGGGTATATGTTGTTGTTCCGCTCCGTGGGCCCCAGAAGTTCCAGCCATGTTCTTTTTGGGTGCACTGTTTCGTCCCCGATCCTCCACGGTCGAGTTCCTCGCCACGGCCCGAAACGACAGCCAACACGGCGTCGGAGGTCGGGGGGAAACCCGCGCCGGGACCCCAGGCGGCGGCCCGGGCCAGGGAACAGCTGCTGCTGGAGGACGCCTGGCTCCAGGGCGAGAGCAGCTCGCCGCGTGGGTCGGCGGGCGCCCCTGCGGCGGCGCGCGGAGGCCGCGCGCGGCGGCACACCCGCGGCAGCCGGGAGGTGCCCAGACCCGAGTCCAGACCATTCGCTTCTAGGGAGCCCGTGTGTTGGGGCCCCAGGAGGCGGTGGGAACGGATACATCTTCGGCCCCCCTGTTTTGCGGGGCCCGAGGGTCTAGGCCTCCCAAGTGGGTGCTGGTAGATGGGGTCGGCGGATCGCGCCGCATGGCGAATGCCTCGGTAATGCAGCTTGATCTGGAACCCGGTTTCTCCACGCAAGGTCGCCGATGTATCGGCGAACCGGTGCAATCTTCCGACCCCATCTACAGTCGGACCGAGGTATAAGATCGAGGTCGGTTCGGGGAGGGTACCTTGGTGTTCTTCGTGTTTGTTGGATGCAATTCTGCACCCTGGAGAGGGTACCCTTGGTGTCTCATGTTCTTGAAGGAGGTTCTTCTGGTCTGGGTCCGACTGCATTCGGACTCCATTTAGGAGGCTTCTAGAGAGCATCCACATCCACCGCGCCGCCTGGGGTCCATGCAAATCGGTTCTCCAGGCGGTGGATAATCAATTATGTGCAGATCTTTGCCTCGCACCAGAGCCGCGCACGGCGACGACGGCGACCGCGGCGGCGGCGATGACATCGGCGGCGGCGCCGGTGCCTGCGGAAGTCGGGAGGTGCCCGAGCAGCCCATCCCGCCAGGCACCCCTTGCGTCGAGTAAAATCGCCACGGCAGCCAGTCACTGGAGTTCGACTGGTGCCTTTCTTTCGAGACAAACGGCAAGACGGCAAATGCATTGCCAGGTCTGCATCCTGGGACGGTTCAACACAACCCTCCAACCACTTGGGCCGACCACCAGCCGAACTTGGAACAGGGTTGGGATGGCAGGCGAAGAAACACGTAATTTGTCCACTGTCGCTTCCTCTGCCTTGTCCAGGCAATCCACGGCGATCAGTGGATATCGGCTCGCCCACATGGCTCGCCGATGGTCAACCCCTTGTCTGCGCCGAGCCGCGTAGGTCTGCCTTGTCCAGGCAGGGGCCCATCCCTTGTCCAGGGACTGCGGCTGCCGCGTATGTTTGCCTTGTTCAGGCAGGGACCCGTTCCCTTCCAGGATCTGTGGCTGAACATTTGGGCTTGCCTTGTCCAGGCAGGGACCGGCTCCCTATCGGGGGGCCGAGCGTTGCCACGTGGGTTCGCCTTGTCAAGGCATAGGCCCGTTCCTCATCTTGGAACTGCGGCTGAATAGGGTGTGCCTTCTCCAGGCAGGGACCCCGCTCCCTATCAGGGAGCCGAGCGTAGGCGTCATCTCCTGGTACACGATGACTGTTTGTCCTCGGCCTCCCTGTCGCGAGCGCCTGTCGCGAGCGCGCGCCAGAAATGCGCCTCTTTGGCACGAAGCGTGAGCGGCGGCAACAAAGCGGCGGCGGCACAACAGGGGCAGGCAGAGAGGCCGCAAGCCCGCCATTGCAGACAGAAGGCGAACCAACAGAACAGGGGACTACCCAGGAGCCCGCTACGCCAGATGTTCCTGCATCAGAAATCAAAGATTCAGGGAATATCAAACATAACGCGGATAACGGTTCTTGGCAGCTTTCGGCTTCCATAGGCCCTCATTGGGCCCTCGGGCCTCCGAAATCGGAAAACAATTCGGAATCGAAAAGCTGGTCCCTTAGGGGGAGATCCTGATATCAGGTTTCCACATTGGGAGACAATCGCGACGTCGGGGGCCTGGTCCCCTTAGCAAACACGGAACGACGTTGAACTTTCGGCGGCCCGCGCACATTTATCAGGTCGTCGCTGGGTCCCCCTCCCCGCCACCCTTGGCGGCGCCCCGGGCGCCGCCCCTGGCGCGCTCAGCTCGCCGGAGGAGGATGTGAGGGGGCGACGCAAAACCCCCGCGCGGGCCTCCAAGACTTCGTGCCTACGAAGACTCCTGTTTTTCTTCATCCCCGAAGGCGACGAGCGATGGCGACGACGGCGACGATCATGGCGACGATTGCGACTGCGGCGGCGACTACGACGACGACGACGACTGCTGGCGCTGGTAAGGCACCGCCGCCTGAGGCTTCGGAGGCCTTTTAGAGGGATCGACCCGCGACGCTCGAGGTCGTTTGTCTGTTTTTCACGACGTACCCCCGGAGGTCAAAAGTCTTTCTTTGGGGACTGGCTTTTCATCCTGAAGCGCGTTTTGACGGTCCATGACCGGGCCAGGGTTTACGGAAGCTGCAAGTTGCCCCCACACCCTCCGTCGCGATTGCTTCACGACGCGAGAAGGTGTGGGGGAGAAGGCGGGGTGCGGCGGCCCTAAGGTGCCCGAGCCGCCCATCCCCATGGACCAGCTTTTGACCTGCTGCATGCCGGGCGCGGGCGCCGGCATCGACGTTTGGGACTCGGCCAGGAGCCCCACGGCATCCACGGCGGCCCCTGGGCCGCCGTGACGCGCGGGGCTTGGCCGCGAGGCAGTGGCGAGGTGCGCCCTCGGCGCTGGGGCCCCCCGCTGCGGGTTCTGAGTTTTGCGTTGGACGGGGATGCGGCGGGTGTGGGCCCCAAGGGGGGGAGCCCGCCTCCGCGGCTGCACTGCCGCCTGTGCGGAGGCCGGTTCTGCGCGAGCGTGGGTCCTGCGTGCCGCTTCTTTTTTTTTTTCGGGGCCGTGGCCGTGGTTTCGCGCGGTGCCTTCTCTCGGGCTCCTTTTGCCCCCGCCCATCTCGCCCCCCCCCCTCTCCCCGCTTCTTTCGGGGCTTCACTCTCTGCCCCGTCCCTCCTACGATGACGCAGTGTAAGGCGCTCCAGACTGGGCCTCACCTCCTGCGTGCCTCGCCTTCAGCGGAAGCCGGCGGAAGTAAAGCGGCGGCGGGCCCGCCGGCGGGGCGGCAGGTCGGCGGAAGGCGGCGGAAGCAAAGAGGGGCGGCAAGGAATTTGGAGTTTGGATTCAGGGTTTCTGGAGCGGGCCATATTGATGCGTTCCTCTCTTCCCGAATCGCCATGCCATGGCCTCCCGGCACTCCCGCACTGTGTGGTCTGAGCTTTGACCCCGCACCGGTGGGACGTGTGTGTTCGTGATTCCCAGCCGTGATGTCTTCGGTCGCTCGGGCATTCAGCACCAGCAAACGGCACAAGCACAACGCTTTGAAGGTCCGCGCGGAGCTCTTGGGCTGGCGCTGGACCCTCCTCCCCAAACACCCCTGGCGGTGCCTTCGGCGCCGCCCCAGGCGCGCAGAGAAGGGCCGGAGTCCAGCGCCGACCCAAAAATCCGTGCGGACCTTCAGTGGTCGTGTGTATGATATCTCGTCCCTGACCAGGGTTGGTTAGCCAGGGGGGTTGGCCCGACACCTGGCCTGCTTTGGCCGAAGGATTGACCAGGGTAATTCTTCGATCGGATGTTTTATAAGGCATAGTACGTGATCTTTTGTCCCAGGCGAGGCGTCTTTGGCCACCCAGAGCGGCGCTCTCGCCCCACGGTGCCGACTGCATTCCTTCGATTGAGCGCGCTTCTCCACTCGGGGTGCCCCGATAACAGCTGGCAGACGGATCAAGAACAGCCCTTGCCCTGGAGGGGTACCAAAGTGTTTTTCGTCCTAGGGCTATCCACCTTTGGATGCTCTTCGTTTTGGGTGTCTCCCTGGGGCACTGGGCATTCGGCGACGGGGATTACGTTTTTGACCCGCTATTGGGTGTTCGGCGACGGGGCCACGCTTCCATTGCGCATTGCCCCTCTATCGCTATTCAGACTGACTGCAGCCAACCTCCGAGAACTTGATTATGAAGTCGCCAGTCCGAAACTCAATATGAAGTATGAAGTCGCTGGCCCGAAAAGGCTCTGGTGTTGTTTGTTCGTGTCCCCTGAAGAAGCCCGCCGCAGGCGCCGATTTTCTCGGCGAAGCAATGTGGGTGGGTTGCGGGTGGGTCGCCGGGTGGGTCGCTGGGCGGGTCGTGGGGCGGGTCGCGGGTGGGTCGCAGGCCGGGTCGCAGGTGAGACGACGACAACAAGCAACAAACAAAAAACAGAATCCGCTCCGCGGAACTTCACTTCAGCCACGCACTCAGGGACAGTGAATGATAGTTCGGCCCCTGCAATCTGATGATTATGTTTTTTTTCCTCTCTCTCTCTCTCTCCCTCCCTCCCTCCCTCCCATCCTGGATGAAGGTTGCAACTCCTGGGAGGTGAAATTAAGCCTCGGTGCTGGTACATCCGCGGCCGAAAACAATTGTAAACCCGCACAAGTCGCATTATTCCAGCCCAGTCCTGGGCCTAATTCAGTTGACATTGGCCTGACATCCATTCAATTAGTTCTGGTAAGCCGCAGTCGTTACCACGAAGACCTCCCAGGACTTGCCCCCTGACCCGGTATCGCGCCTGCCCCGGACTCCCTAGTTTGCTCCGCGGCCGGTGGTACTCGCAAAAAGCTGCGCCGCCACCGATCCTTGCCGCCGCGCAACCGCCGAGGAGCGACCACGGTCAGCAGCACAAGCTTCTGGCGACCGTTGTATTATTTGTTTTTGTATTGCAGCTGCCACGTGTGGTCCTGAGGGAGGAGGTCCTGGAGGTTTTTGGCCGTTTTCGGCCTCCTGGGCCCTCCCCAGGCCTCAAGACCGTCAAGAGACACCTTGGGATGTAGAGCTGGTCATGGAGAGAGCCTCTGGAAACGGTGCGCTGTCACCGATCTTGGCGTCGCGCGCTCACCAGACGCGACCAAGGCCCACAAGCTTCTGTCGACTGCCATAACATTGGATTTTGTGCCTCATTTGTTGCTCTACTCCTCGTCCTCCTCTCCTTCTGGCGGCCGTGCGGTTCACCGACGGTCTGCGAGGGCCTGTTGTGTAGGTGCAGGCCCAGAGCCCAGACCTTCGACTTTCTGTATTTGTGAGGGCGTCGCCCCCCCCAGCTCCGTCTATTGATCATCCCGAGGCCGAGAAACAACCCATGGAGTCCGACACTTCGGACGAGCGAGGACGGGCGGGATCGAACAAAAACTATGACGCGTCGGAGGTTTGGGAGCTCACTCGGGGTCCCGCAGATGTCATCGCCGTGCTTGTCTGGCGGCGCGCACGGGGGTGTCCGGCGGAGGTGGGTGGCCTTCTGCGAAGACCGAGAGCGTCCGTAGAAGCCTTCTGAGGGCTTTGAGGAGCTTCCTCGGAAGCCTCCCGAGCCCCTCAGAGAATCCCCCCCGGCCTCCTCGGACGGCCCCCGCCCGTCGCCTCCCACCCCCCTCTTCAAGCTTCTGCGCGCCGCCAGCTTCTACGAGCGCGTCGCTGCTCTGGCGGGGCCGAGTGCGGCGCCATGATGAGCCTGGCGACCTCCAAGGGTCCTGGCCGCGGTCGCGACCGTTCGTCCCATGCTTTCTCCGATCCCATGCCTCTGACGTCGCAACTTGTGCACGCCCGACGCATTCGACCGATTGTGGCCTCCGCTGGAGATCGCGAGGTTCGTACCGTTACTTCCCAGGATGAGCTTGGCGCAGGCCTCTGGCGACTAGAAACTCGCCGGAGGCTTTTCGCCATGTTCGGTCTTCGCGGGGCTGTTTCTTGGCCCCATTTCAAAGCACGACTCTGAATGCCAGCTCAAGAACTCCAGTGATGGAGGACTGTGGGCCCTGTCTCTCGCTCCTCCTCTTCCTCCCCTTCCCTTCCCATCTCTCCTCGATTCCTTTTGATCTGCTCCGCTTACGGGACCACCACCGAGACCCGCTTTGCCGGCGACTCGAAGAAATCGAGTTGTCGGAGGTCTGGAGGCCAGTCACAGGAAAATCCAGTCAGGATTGCCCCCAGGATAGCTCTTGATGGCATGCTACCTGCCATTGCTTCTGGCAGGCAACGCTCCATATTTATTATACCGCTTTTCGTTCATCCCATATGAGACAAGCTGCACAGATGATCGAAGACGCCTACGGCGAACCAGCGACGTTGCTTCTTTTTTGGAAGCGCCTATGTATCCAAACGTTGGGCCCAATCCTGGCCAAGCTAGTGGATTTACCTTTTCCCCCCAGCCGTTTGGTGGAGACCATTGTGAGAACATTTCAGAGAGGAAGAGGGAAAGGAGGAAGAGGCGAAAGATGATGGTGGTGATGCTGATGATCATGATGATGATGATGAGGAGGAGGAGCAGGAGGAAAAGAAGAAGGAGGAAGGGACAACGGGGAGGGAGGACGATGGAGCACGAGAGGGAGAAACAGAAGGGGGGCTCGGAGCAGAAAGCATGTGGCAGAACCAGACGGGCAGATCGGGCGGGTAGACCCTAACGAGCGGGTCGGGAAGGCGGGACCAGGCGACCAGGTCGAGCAGTCGGGTTGCTGAAGCGTGCGTCCTGCATGAATCGCAAGGAAGCCTCGAGCGATAGCGCGATATCCAGGTAAACCATGAGGAAGTCGACCGCGAGAGCGTGTTTCCGGAGTGTGAAGGGCGCGGGCTCCGACTGAATTGCGAGCGCGAGTCTTGCATACATTGTGTGAAAGTCCCGTGCGACAGCGAGATTTGGGAGTCCATTGGGAGCAAGTATCACGCGGGAGCCGCTGTTTTTGTAAACTGGGGACTTGGGGCAGAGTTTGGTGACACCTCACCTACCCTGATTGAAAAACAAGTTCCTGGCGCTGGGAGAAGCACTATGATTGAACAATACAGTGGTTATTGTGCAGGGGTGGCAACGAACAGTTTCTCTTTGGAGGTGAGAACTTGACAACAAAAGACAACAACAAAAGCAACAACAGCACCAACAACAACAGCAACCATTTTACTACTGCTCGCTCTTATCTGCTCGCGTGCCATTCAGCACGTATCTCCCAAACCCTCGACACCCGCCTTCTTCGTCTTCGATCGTGCCCCATTGTGGGCATATCTTTCTCGTGCAGCCCCTGAGGCAGGGGATGAAAGGACGGATGGAAGGAAGGGACATGTGGGAAAAAGGAGGATGGAACACAAGAGGGAGTAGCAGGAGGGTGGCTAGGAGCAGAGAAACGCGTGGCAGAACCAGACGGGCAAATCGGGCGGGTAGACCCTAACGGGCGGGATGGGAAGGCGGGACAAGGCGACCATGTCGAGCAGGTGGGATGCTGAAGCGCGAGTTCTACCTGAATCCCAAGGAAGTTTTGAGCGATGGCCAACTCCCCAAGCATCGTTTATCGATAGCGAAAGCATGATTCCTGAGTGTCGAGGGCACTGCGCCTGAATAAATTGCGAGGAGAACGCGATGCCTGCATACATTGTGAGGAAGTTCCGCGCGAGAGCGCGATTTGGTAATACATTGTGAGGAGGTATCCGGCGGAAGCCGCTGTTGATGTAAATACAGGGGGGCACCAACCCAATTCTAAGACCCAATCTTTTTCTTGGTAAAAGAAGCCGGAGTGCGAGCCCCGGGATGGGCACTTCAATTGAATGCGTAACATGTGACATTAATCCCACCAGCCCTCTGGGCGTCGGTGGTTTAGAGCGTTTCCTGTTCCACCCCTCCTTCCCCTTCGGGGAGGGGTTTACCCCTCCCCCCACCCCCTCCCCACTGACCTGGACAGGGGGGGCCGCGGGTAGTTAGAGCGTCCAAAAACGACCCCCGGGAGGGCTAAAATTCGACACCCCTCACGAGGATCGTGGCTCCTGATGGGGGGGACTTCAATTAGGGAACCCCCCTTCGTTGATCGATCTCCTCCAAGATGGCTCCGAGGCCCCCCAAGAGGCCCCCAGGAGGCCCCCAAGAGACCCCCAAGAGGCCCCAAGAGACCCCCCAGAGGCACCCAAGAAGCGCCCAGGAGGCCCCGAGAAGCGCCCAGGAGGCCCCCAAAGGCCCCAAGATGGCCCCAAGAGGCCCCAAGAGGCCCCCAGGAGGCCCCAAAGAGGATCCCGAACGGCCCACAGAGGCCCCCCCGAGGCACCCAAGACGCCGAAAAGCCCCTCAGGACGACCCTCTACTCGCCTGGGCGTCGTTTCTGGACGGGCTGGTGGGGATACGTGAAGCGTTTAGAATTTTCGTTTAGAAATGATGCCGGAGAAAAGACCAATCAGAATTGTTTTAGGGCTGTAGGGCTATGGGGCTATAGGGCTATAGGACCATAGGGTTCTAGGTCTATAGGGCCATAGGGCTATAGGCATATATAACTATCGGGCTATAGTGCTCTAGTGCTATAAGGCTATACGGCTATAGGGTTACAGAGCTCCAGGGGCTACAGGGCGATAGGGCTAGAAGGCTATCTGGCTGTTGGGCTATAGGGCTATTGGGCTATAGGGGCATAAGCTTATTTGGGCTATAGGGCGATAGGGCAAGAAGGCTATATGGCTACAAGGGCTATAGGGCTATAAGGCTATAGGGCTACAGGGTAGGGCTATCGGGCTATTTGGCTATAGGGCTATAGGGTAGGGCTACAGGGTTAGAAAGGGCTGTGAGGGCTATAGGGCTACCAGGCACCCGGGCACACGGGCACCGAGGCACCCAGGCACCCGGGCACCCAGGCGTGCCGCCGAAATCGGCGCCACAGCTAACCTAACTATATGAATCCGCCAGAACACCAACAGCAACAACGATCATGTTTAGACTGTTCGTTCTTATCTGCTCGAGTGTCCGTCAACGTGTATTTCCCAAACCCTTGATGCCCGCCCTCTACGTCTTCGATCGTACCCCTTTTGAGGGGGTCGATCTCTCCCCCCTGCAGGCCGGGCCCGGCAAGCGGCGGGGCGGCCGCGGACCGTCGGCCTGGCCAGCGGTAGCGCTGATCGGCGGCACCCGACCCCAAGAGGGACGGACAGGGGACCGACCACGACCACGACCACGACGACGGCGACGGCGACGGCGACCGCGACGACGACGACGACGAGCGAAAGCGAGAGAGAGAGAGAGAGAGAGAGCGAGAACGAGAGCGACAGCGGGCCACGAAGGGCAGGAAGGTGGCCACGAGGGCGACTGCGGGGCCACGAAGGGCATGCGTATGGGGCCACGAAGGCGCGAACGAGCGGGGTCTACGAAGGGCAGGTAATGCGGGGCCACAGAGGGCAACGACTGGGTCACTGAGGGTAGCAACGGGGCCACGTGGGGCAGCGAGGGGGCCACACAGGGCGACAACGGGGCCGCGAAGGGCACGCGCGCGGGGCCACGACGGGTGCCAACGACTGGGGGCCACGAGGGGCATGCGCATATTGGGGCGCAGAGGGCAAGGGCGGGGCCTTTGAAGGCAGCAGCGGGGCCACGAAGGGCAGCGAGGGAGCCGCGAAGGGCAACGGCGGGGCCACGAAACGCACGCATACGGGGCCTCCGCGGGCGCGAACAAGCGGGGGCAACGAATGACATGCGCATATGGGGCCACGAACGGCAGCGAAGGAGCTGCGAAAGGCTGCAACGGGGCCACGAAGGGCAGCGAGGGGGCCACGAATGGGGTGCAACGGGACCACGAAGGGCAGCGAGGGGGCCACGAAGGGCTGCAACGGGGCCACCAAGGGCAGCGAGGGGGCCACGAATGGGGTGCAACGGGGCCACGAAGGGCAGCGAGGGGGACACGAAGGGGTGCAACGTGGCCACGAAGTGCAGCGAGGGGGCCACACTGGGCACAGCGGAGCCACGAAGGGCAGCGAGGGGGGCACGAAGGGCTGCAACGGGGCCTTGAAGGGCAGCGAGGGGGCCGCAGGGCTGCAACGGGACCGCGAAGAGCAACCGGGGGACAACGGGCTGCAACGGGGCCACGAAAGGCTGCGAGGGGGCCACGAAGGGCTGCGATTGGGGCCGCGGAAGGCAGCGAGGGGGCCGCGAAGGGCTGCAGCGGGGCCACGAAGGGCAGCGAGATCCCGATTCCGAAGTAAGTTGTGAGGGCGTCCTAAGCGTGGGCGCGACTCCAGGGTGCCTGAGTGTCGGGAGCGCGGTGCTTGATTTTAAGGTGCGGGGAGCTTCAACGCGAGAGCGAGATCCTTGGGCAAATGGCAAGCAAGTCCCCAGCAAGAGCGCGACCCCAGAGCGCCGAGAGAGCGATCCTTCAATAGAGCGAAAGGAAGTCCAAAGCGAGAGCGCGACTCATGCGAAAAATACAAAGAAGTCTCAGGCGGGAGCGTGGGTCCTGGCTAAATTGTGAGGAAGTCTCAGGCGGGAACCATTGTTGTTGCAATTCGGGGGCCAACACCGCAGTTTGAGCCCCGTGGCTTTCCTTTGTTTGTTTTGACAAAAAACCAGGGTGCGAACCCCGGAGGAACATTTCAAGTGAACACGCAATGGTCACCGGAGGGGGTCGGTCAACAATCTTTATTATACAAAAGTGAGAATTCAACGACACGACAGCGACAACAACAACAATACTCCTATCAATACTTTACGTGTGTGTTTGCTCGCGTGCCATTCAGCACGTATGTCCCGAGCCCTCGGTACCCGCCTTTTCCGTCTTTGATCTTATCTTTTTAGGTGTAATGTTTAAGGGTGTTCGCCCTTACGGGCACGCGTGTTTTGCATTCTGTATACCCCAAGTTTCGATACCCGCAAATTTCTGTTTCGATCGCACCTCCTCTCGGGGGTAATATCTCCCCTCTCGGCCATTGATTTAAGTGCGAGGAACTCGAGCGAAAGCGCCGTTCCTGAGTTCGGGGGCCTTACTGGTCAGGCCAGGGGTTCTCGGAATGCATCTTGAGAAATACCGAACGGTAGCCCTTGTCGCCGTGTCTGGGCTTCCACCAACTTGCCCGAATTACGAGAAAATCTAGAGCGATAACGCCTTTCTTGAGTTCGGGGCTCTCTCTGGCAAGGGCCTCCTTTGCGAATGCATCTTGAGGAAGTATCAAACCAGAGCCCTTGTCGTCGCAGCTGGCCCTCCACGAATTTGACCGAACACGAAAAATATCAACGAGAGCGCCGGTCCTGAGTTCGGGGGCCTTCCCGGCCAGGGGATTCGGAGTAAATCGCGAGGAAGTAT